ATATTATATAACTTATAATATTATATAATATTATATAAATTATAATATTATATAAATTTATTATGCGTACAAGAGTACACACATATGAAATTCTTAAAATACAATTTAACATATATTATTAACGAGTTTAATTATTTATATAACAAGACATTAATTATACAAAATATAGAATAAAAGTTTTATGGGATATGTATGAATTCGTAAACATAAGCATTCATAATGATATTTAAATTGGTCTGTCAAATATATTATAATTGATTAAATTTTCGAGTTAAATTAATATTCACATAAATAATAATAAGAAAAGAATGTAATGATATTTTTAGAATATAAATCTTATATTTTATTTCCATCTTTCATAATCCTTAAATGAATTTCTATAAGATATTCATATCGAAGTTTATCTCCAGACAGAATATAATTTATGATTTTATTCTAATTTTTTCTACTATTCATTAATATTTATTGGTGCAATAAAAGAAGATGAGAACCGTGAGATAAAAATACTTTGTCGTGAAGTAGGAGAATTTTTTATATAGTTTATTTCAAAGTTAATTAGTTACATACCGAATGTATTATGAAAATTACTTGAGATATTGAAATAATATTCCTAAAGTAAGTTCTGAATATAAATTATTCGGATAACATTAATAGTATAATAACGAAAGATATTTATTCAACATGAAAATGCATATACATCAAGAATATGAAAGATTCATAGGATAACAATAATAATGCAAGATACGCATTTAAATCTCACATTATGGTTCATTTAGATGTTACAATGAACAATTGTCTCGAAAAAATTATTAGAAAATTATTAGAAAATTGTTTTTTTTTTTCAAATAATTAATTGTGTGAATTTAGTTTATTAGATTAATTTTATCTAAATAACGATAAAAGAAAAAATTAATTAAAATATAATATTTTTTAAATACGTAACTTTTATTTAATTCTATTTCTTTCATAATCTTTCAAAGGAAATATGAATTTCTGAGAGTTTAGTATAATTCAAAAAAGAATTTTTTAAATGAAACTTTGTACGCTATATATACAGAAGCATGCCAGAGATAAGTTTATTTTCGCGAAGATGTATCGTATGTCCCTTCACTCCGTCCCTTCTATTATCATAATGCGAATAGAAATTACCATGCTTGCATATGGCGTATTATACAAAGTCGCGAGCAAATATGCCGATTGCCTTCAGGGACACGTTTACCCTCTATCCTGTTAGCAACGGGAGGAATGTCGGTGCGAGATGCTCTTCGTTGGCAGGATTCTCACGATGCCGCACTGCCGCCTCGAAGATCCCGATCATTCTCAATTCCATTAAAACGAGTCGGCGGCGAGCGACAAAAGAACTCGTGGTCGTTCATTGCGCGAAATACCATGCAATTTCGTGGCGAATCACTTGCCGATTCTTTTTCCCTCCCGCATCCTTAGACGAATATTATCTTTCGGCCGAAGGTGCAGAGCGACGATAAGCAGTTTTCCATGGAAATTGCGTTTTTACTCTGTAATCATACTCTGTACTCGCGTACTCATCATACTCTGCAATGATACAAATTTAGGCTGTACATGCATATAATCGTTTGCTAATCGCTAATTACACTAGACACTCTATAACAGAATCTAGCCATCAGTAATTTTGTCAAAAAGAGTGAGAAATAAGAGTATATATACATATACTTATACTGTTTCTTTTATATAGTTGTTTCATTCTAATATAC